TGTTATCGAAATTTATATAAGATCTATATAATTAATGATAAAGGATGATTATATATAAAAACAGATTTGAAAAGAAACATTTCTAATAAAGTACTATTTTGTATTGCACCCAAGATGAATCCTGTGGTTTTATTGAATCCATTTTGCTATGGATTCCTTAACCAGTCGTTTTGCTTGTTGCATTTCTTCACTGTCTGATGGGATCAAAGATCCGGAGTCTTGACAATGAGCAGATCCATGGACTAACATAGCAGGTGCTAATTCATGAAGGCTTTCGGTGATTCCTGGTGGATGCCATGGGTCAACACTTCCATGGATTGAAACTACTTTGGTTAAGGCATGATTACGACCTCCGTAAACTCTGTTGGTCCGATTGACGTATACTTCCATGGGATCTAGGTTAGGACCAAATAGATCCTTGCAAACACGATCAAAATAATCTACTGTTACTGCATTCTGGACAAATGGTTGATTGGGAGAGGTTGTGGTTTGGAGGTAGGCAAACTCCGTGCAAATTTGGTAGTACCACTGACGATCTGTCAAATATTATAGGTAAATATTGTTTATGTAAATTTGTTGTTATTATACTTACAAATTCCGTATGTAATCTCACCAGTTCCATAATCCTGTAGGAATTCATCGTAGTCCCCAAGACATCCTCCATTGTAGTAATCTCTTACAAAAGCACCCATCTTCTCCATATCGTCATTACCTGGAGAACCCATGAGTTTATCACACATGATTTCAATGTTTCCTGGCCATGCATATTGCACTTGACCAGCAAAGACTTCAGTGTAAGTATTCCAGAAGTGTTGATCATAAGGGAAGTCTCCTCTGAGAGCTGTGCAGGTGTAGAAATGTCTTGAGAGGTCTTCACGACCTTGAGAAGTTTTTCATACATAATCTTTGAAGCTGATTCAATCATATTGTAACACTCTTGGGAGATGTCCCTGATGCTATCTCCAATCACTTCGTAGTATTCTGGGAAGTCTACTTGTGCTACC